ACTCCAGAGCCAGTTGCTTATAGCAGAGACCGAGTTAGGCTGTAGCTTGAAGGCCTTGGTGAAAGAGATGACGTTGGGATAATTTATTCCTTTGCAGCTTTTCGGAGAGACAGCAGTTAATAGCTCACCGTGTGCTAGGCCATGGTCTCACTTCTTACACTGAATCTTAGCAACTCCGTGAAGTGGACACTATCATGAAGCTCAATTTGCAGATGAAGAAACTGATACACAAAAAGAGTAAACTTGCCCTGCTGTATACAGCTAGAAAGTAGTAGAAATAGGATTGGAACTTGTTTAGTCCGGCTCATCTGAGCTCTTAGCCACTATGCTCTAAGCGTAACAGAACTACATGAGCCTTCATTGGTTCTGCTTGACTAGCACTAGTTAGTTACTTGGCTCTTTCAAAGTTCTGATGCCTCTCAATTTATTTGTGGCATTTCTTTGTTATAACTAATCCTAAAGGATCCTAAAGTACCCAACCAAGAATGTCTTGCCAATTTATAAGATTCAGAAGGTAAGCATTCTTTTTAAAGAGTAAGTGGTTACCCAATTCTAGAAAATAAGTATTCTTCTGGGACCTCTGTAAACAGAATTATGAGAAAATAGGAGATTTCCTTAGCCCTTAGTAATGACAGGAGTTCCTGAGAATTTAGTTTACTCTGAAAACCTGTTTAGCCACAGGATAAATTGTGCCTTTGCCTTAGGAGATTTAATGCTTTGACAAGATAAATATGTAGTTGTTTTTCAGAACACCCTTGTAGGATAGGTTAATATTAATAATTCAGTTTATACAGGCTATACTCTAGCCACAGAAAAGAATGTTGATATGTCTAAGATCTCATAACAATTCCAGAATCAGAAATACCCTACCTGGAGTTTTATGCTTAGTTGGTTTTGCTGTGTAGTCACCTACTTCCAAGAAAAACCAAACTGTCAGGATTTGAATTAGATGCTAAATGCTTTGCAAGCAAGTATAGAGCATTAAGCACAGAAAAGTGTTTCCATTTTCACTTGGGACCTTGTCATCTATAGCATTTCATTTAAATCATGTAGTTCCTTAAAAAAAAAAGAAGTCGTACCTCTCAAGGTTAGTCTCAGACACAGAATCTCCTCATTTCTGCATCAGCAAAAAATAATAGTCGTACGCATGGAAGATGACTTGTTACTTCTTATGTATCTTTCCATTTTTCTTTCTCCAACGTTTTCTTGTATTTCTTTAAAGTGGACATCATCTCCACCTCTGCCGGGAAGACAAGTGACAGTTTTTTTCCATGTAGGCAACTTTTTTCAGTTCCCCTTTGAGCTAGAGTAGATCTATACTGTAGCCCAAAGAACAGAAACTTTCCTTCTTTCTGAAGTGCCTCAGTTCTCCTTCAGACAACTGAAAGGAGCAATTTAAAACATAAGCAATGTGACTTTTTATTATTAGCCTAGATAATTATGTAAATCACAACAGAACACTGAACCAGTCTGTCTTTAACTGTCAGCCTATTATATTAACCGTTCTAACTTGTTAATGAAAATGAAAGTGACTCCTTAAAGCATGTAGCTTCTACTTGATCATTTTGATTCTTCCTACTTGCAACAAATACTATAACATAAACTTCTTATTCTTTTTTTTTTAATTTTTCCCATTTTGAGTTTTATTCAGGTGTAATTGACCTATAATAGGCCCATAGGTTTTTTTTATTTTTTATTGTTATGTTAATCACCATACATCACATCATTAGTTTTTGATGTAGTGTTCCATGATTCATTGTTTGTGCATAACACCCAGTGCTCCATGCAGAACGTGCCCTCTTTAATACCCATCACCAGGCTAACCCATCCTCCCACCCCCCTCCCCTCTAGAACCCTCAGTTTGTTTTTCAGAATTCATCGTCTCTCATGGTTCGTCTCCCCCTCTGATTTCCCCCCCTTCATTCTTCCCCTCCTGCTATCTTCTTTTTTTTTTTTCTTAACATATATTGCATTATTTGTTTCAGAGGTACGGATCTGAGATTCAACAGTCTTGCACAATTCACAGCGCTCACCATAGCACATACCCTCCCCAGTGTCTGTCACCCAGCCACCCCATTTCTTATTCCTTTTTTATACTTTTTTTTAAAGATTTATTTATTTATTTGAGAGAGTGAGAATGAGAGAGCAAGAGAGAGAGAGAACATGAGAGGGGGGAGGGTCAGAGGGAGAAGCAGGCTCCCCGCCAAGCAGGGAGCCCGATGCGGGACTCGATCCCAGGACCCTGGGATCATGACCTGAGCCGAAGGCAGTCGCCCAACCAACTGAGCCACCCAGGCGCCCCTCTTATTCCTTTTTATTCCCAGTTCTCCCTAATCCCCTCTTCTGCCTTCTGTCTCTGAGATGTTGGCCCCAGTTTCCTGAGTTGGAGGACAAGACATTCTTAGAATGCACAAGGCTTGCTTCAAGAGGGCGTCTGGGTTTGAGGTCATGCAGGAGGACTAATTTTAGCTTCAGGATCTTATGCACATCATATCTTATAAATTACCTATGAGGCATTTTTAAATATTGCAGACATTTAAAAAGATGAAACCAATTAAATTTTTATAATGGGAAGAGAGTGGGAGAGAAAAATCAGAGAGGCAGAGGTTGGAGGAGGAAGTCATCAACTGCAGAAAACACAGAATTTTACCGGGTCCCAGTGTTAAAGGTTTGTCCTTTGCTTTTGTAACATTGTTTCACTCAACCTGTGTCAAGGTGCAAAATGCTTTAGAGGCAAACACCAAAGCTGAAAGCAGAGAATAGTCACTGGGAATAACGTATGTTTGAAAGTCATCAACATCATTGTCATCATTATTTTCCCTGTGTTTTTAATAGTCATGCTTATTTATATCCCAGTTAAGAGTTGTCGCTAGGAAGTGTGATGTTCTTCGTAGTAAATTTGAGTCAGTTGGGTATGTGCACTTGTTTGTTGTCACTGCTTTATTTTAATGCTCTTATGCTTAGCTTCCCCATACTTACCTGCACATACTAGATGGTAAAGACAGAAATGGAAACCAGTCTTCTACCTCTCTTCTCTCACGGAAGAATTTGGAGAAAGACAGCGACTGTCGTTGATCATGGCATCTTTCCTGTCAGCCTTCAGTGGGCGCACACACACACCCAACCGCAACACGCACCTTCCATCTCTCAAACTGTGTTTCTCATCGTCTCCCAAACACAAATGAGAACTCCTGTGCGCGTTGCTTTGCTCAACACATCATCCCTTCCTGCGTACAGTGCCACCTTCTCTTTTCTGCTAAAAAGGTGGCATTTGACTGGTAGAAAGCCAAGAAGCTTTCTAGTAGGGTAGAACTGACAAGTCTCAGATCTACCACTTACTTATTGTTTGACCTTAGGCAAGTTACTTAATTTCACTGAGACTCCGTTTCCTTATCTGTAAAAGGAAAATCATTTATTTCACAAGGCATTTTTGAGGGGTAAATAGAAGAAAAAATACAAAGCACTTAGCAGATACTGGCTCCCTTCCTTGTAGTTCCCCGTTTTTAAGTCCTACCTATTCCTCAAAATTCAAGTTTTACCTGCTCAAAGCTTATTCTCTGAAGCACCTAGTTTGCGCAGTATGCTACCTCATTATTGTTTGTTGTCTTGTATTTACTGTCTTCCCAAGTTGCTTATGAGCTGCTTGAGAGCTAAAGCTCCTCTGAAACAAAAAAAAATTCGGTTTCTGATATAACCTTATTAAATATGGTAGCCTCAGATGTGTGAGAGTGTAGAACTGGAAAATAAAAATGACTCCTTAAGCATGCAGTCCCCTTACTCCAAATTCCATGAGTTGGGAAAGGTTTTGAGTCCATTAGGTTTTCCTAGCCCAATAACAGAAATGGCATGAAAAGTGCTTTCCTCAATTATGAAATCTAAAAGGGAATCTTCAAATCCAGAAAGAGACTTCTTGTACTTCCATTGCTGCAGAAAGAGCTTAATTGGGTACATACATCTCTTTGAGGCAGTTTTCTATTAAAAATAAACTTGCAGAGCATGTTTGAATGTTCTGGTAAAGGAGGGAAGTTACTCAGACACTCTTACCCGAAGAATTGTTCCGTGAGAGGAAAGGTAGGCTTCCACTGAGCATGCATCTTCAGTGACGATGCACATCAAACATAAGAGAGGAAGAGGAGTCCGACTCAGGTGGCCGGATCACTGCCACATCAGACACACCAGCCTAGTAACACATTCCCGTACCCAGAGAATGGTCATCAGGTAGAGCAGGGTAGTGGCTCTTTATCCATATAAACACACAATCCCTAATAGGGTCAGAGCTCTTCAGCTCACTGGCAAAACTGTAGCAAGAGGTCAGGCTCCCTATATATACCAGAAAGTAACAGAGAGCACAGTGATTACATTCCAGATGTGACCTTTTACACTAAAGTAAATCTTCTAATGAGCAGAATTTGTTTTCCAAAAGAAAAAAATCCACATGTTTGTGATATTGCAGTCTTAAACATGGGATTCTCTGCCACCACCATCCCTCTTTAAGTCCTTGGTTTTTAATTTATAATCCTTTGCCTTTTGCTATATCTTTCATTTTAAGCTGTGATGCAAGAATGGATATTATATTTCTCTGCTGTAGTTCATCTATCTCCAGACTTATTCGGGTACTAATTGGTCATTTCTCACCTTTGAAAGGCAAATAGAAGGAAAACCACTTTTTTGTGATGTTTCTGACTTTCAAAGAAATATTTCACAGTCATTCATTATAAATGAAATGAGATCTTGGGACTTGATCCTTGTCATAATTTTTCCCCGAAACACTTGGTTCTTTTGCTGGCCTAGCAGGTGAAACTCAAACTTCAGTGTAAAATCTTGAGTCACAGTAAAGATCTGGCTCGAGGTGCTCCAGCTCACTGATTTTGGTGTGTCCTGCTGGAGAAAAACTGACACTGTCATCTTTTTGCTCTTCCTGCTACTTGAAGACCTTGAGCCATGGGACTACCTAAGAGAGATGTTTCTAATATGCTGTCTCTGTGTCTCTTGTCATTGAGGTAATTGTCATGAAAAAACCCTGGACAACAGCCATGACAAACAGAAATATTTTGACAACTCACAGTCACTGGATGCTGCCGAAGAAGAGCCCTCTGAGACAGGAACAGAGGAGGAGCCTGTACTCTCTGTTGAGAATTCAGGGAGGGATTCAGATGCCCTTAGACTTGAAAGTAAGTTGATTTGACCTGAGCTGTGCTTCTGGGGTAAAATCAACTCTCAAGCTTTGAGTTTAGGCTTTTCTCTACTTAAATAGTTTTCTTCTTTTAATAGACACTCATTATATTTGTAGAATCACAAGGGTGACCCGCAGGTGTGAGATGGAAGACTGGCTAGCATGTGACAAAGCTCTTCACACTTCTTTCTTTTTTCTTTCCCCTCCATGTCTTATTTTGCTAGGACAAATTTGATTCATTTATATACCAGTCTTTCTTCTTAATATCAAGAGTCTACTGAGCAAGTCATTGAAAAACAAGCAAGATAACTTCTATTTACGCTAACCCAATAATATTTAAAGATTTGGAATAATAGAAATACCTACCAGGCCCTCTCCTAAAATTCCATTCTACAACCACAGTTTGAGCTATGCTGTACTGAACAGTTCTTGACATTATCGGTCAATGTATAATTGCCAATGTGAATGACTTTGTAGTACTCATCCTTCTTAACCACTTTGCTGCATTTGGATCTATGCACAACTCCCCACTTCTTGAAACTCTATTCCTTCTCCTCTTGGCTTCTGGGGTATCACTTGTTCTTGGCTCTCTTCCTGTCCTCAGGACATCTTTTTCGATTTCTTTCACTTATTCTTTACTTTGCCCCTTATTTGTTGGATTACCCAGGATCTTAACATTGGTCTTTTTTTCTTATCCCTCTTCTTAACCCTCTGTGTGTTATTTCTTGGTGTCTCAGATACTTTTGAATATAACAGTGACTCCAAATCTCTATTTTCAGTTAGGACATACTCTACAACTCTAGATCTTATTTCCACTTTTTTAGTGGTCTCTATCTCAGTGTGCCATAGGCACTTCAAATTGCACGTATCCAAAATTGAACTTGTCCTCATTTTCATCCTATTTCTTGAACTGCTTCTAATTCCTATATCCCTGCTGTCTCTTAATGGCATCACAACTCACCCAGTCACCACTGTATCCAAGACCTGTTGCATCTGTTTATCTCTTCATCTATTCCTTCTGCCACTGCCTGAATTCAGACTTTCTTCATTTCTGCTTGGGCAATCACAGTAGCTTCATAATTGAATTTCCAATATCTAGTCCTTTACTTCTGTTTGTGTATGGAGAGAGAGAGAGTGTGTATATGTGTTTGTGTAGGAGAGAGATAATACATTAATTGGTACAAAATTTTAAAAGCGGAAGCAACCCCTGTTACCAATATATTTTGTGTCCGAAGACTTGTTTCTAAAATCAGATCTGATCAGAAGTTGCCTATGTTTAAAGTTTTCAGTGGCTCTGTGTTACCTATAGGGAGACTCCGGGTATCCTAGTATAGGAGATGTGGCAGTTTGGCCCTAGTTTTGTCTCCAAGTGGTACCATCTACCGCTGCTCTACGTAGCAGGATGTATAAGCCTTCCACCATTTCCCTCACATGCCATGCTCTTGGAGTCTCCGTGTCTGCACAGGCTGGGAATAGCCCCTATGTACTCTTTGCTTGTTGTCAGCGACCCTTACGCATCTCCAAGATCCAGCTTAAATATCACCTCCTCTGTGAAGCATTCACAAAGGTCTCCAGGCATTTAGTTGCTCTGTACGCTGTCCTGTTCCCACTTTTTGTCAAGGCACATTTCATACGATGTGAATGCTTGTGTGTCTTATTTCCCATCAGACTGTGAACTTCTTATGTATCATGTCCTATATAAGTATATTTCTGTGTACAGTAAATATTTGTTAAAGTAATGAAATGTGGCATTTGCCTTCCTGTGTAGGTTGGATTAGCATACTTAGGAATTACAAACTCTGTGTTTCCTTCTAAGTGGTTTTGTATTTAAAAAATGATGTCTAAGAGAAGCAAGCTAGACCTCAGAGGGGAAGTTGTGACCTTCACCTTTGCAGGTTTAGAAAATTAGTTTCATCAGTTCTGTCAGAAATCATTGGGCTTTAAGGAAACTAATTTCCACTTACCATTTCAAAAGAGATGGATTCTTAAACTGGATAGGCAGTTTGTTCATTTACGAGGGAGCTACTCCGCTCTGGTGCCTGGCAGCCTCTTGTCTCCATCTGGCATCAGGTACCCACACAACCAAACGGACATCATGAGGTTGCTTGATAAACTCAGAATCACCACAGATGAAACTGAGCAATGTTAAGGGGTATTTTATTCAATTTACACAAACTGTTCCTATTCCAATATAATACAGCTCCCTAATGACCAGAATACTCATGACCACCAAATTAGACTCTTTTTTCTTCAGACAGTTCAGAATAAAACCCAACCAGAATCTTGCTGTTTGTCTCATTTTCCAAATAGTACATCATTGTTTGAGATAGATTATAACCTAGTCCCTGAGTTAAGTTTCTTTAGTCCTGTGTTCCCCATGGCGTTCCATCCCATGCCTGTACTGGAAAAGGCAGTATGGTTACCCTGGCTGAGACGGGGTCTTTTCCAAGTCCCTTCAGCATCATGCAGACTGTGTCTTAGGGTGGATTCTCTTACAGATTGCTAATTCAATCCATAGTATAATGATGACTCTTACTAGTTACACTCTTAGGTACTAACTTTTCTTCGCCATATGTTTGAATTCTGGGAGCACCTTCTTCTTTTCCCTAGATACAAACAGGTGCACAGGGACTATACTCGTGGTATGTTAGTATGTTTATACCAGCAGGCTTCCTGTAGTGTGGTTATCAGAGTGAGAAAAACTCCATTTTTTAAAATGCAAATAGTGTGTTATAATAAAAGCCAAGGATAGACATTAAAGAGTTTTTGATAATTCTGTTTTTGGAGGAAAATTTAAAGAAATACAGTTAAGCCCTTTCCAGTAACCATAAACTTATGATAATCACTACCTTTCTGTGGTACTTTACAATTTACAAACATATGCTCACTTCAGCAGCACTTACATATAATTTACAAACTTATGAATTAATGTGTTAATTGTGTGAAACAGATATTATTATCAAGCCCATCTTATAGATGAGAAAATTGAGACTCAGAGAAGTTAGGTCCCTTGACCAAGATCATCAGTAGATAGCATAACTAAAACACATCCTCAGGTCTTCTGATCCCATGCATTGTACCCTTTGCCTGTGGGCCTTAGAAATAGGGGGTTGATGGATTAGAACTTTATTTTTTAATTAGTAAGGTCATTTTTAAAGAAAACTAGCATCTGCTGTTACCATTATTTTATAAAAGCAAAGAAAATTTTAATGTCAAAAAGTGCAAAGACAATCTCAGAATAAAGGTCTTTTTCAAAAACGGACAGTCGGCAACCTTACTCCAAAATTTGTATCCGGATGTGCATGCATGTGTGTGTGTGTTTATTATAATTTTATATACATATCCTTTTTATGTTTCTCATTTTGCTAAGGATTGGTACAAATTGTGTCACTGATTTAACATTGGAAAAACCACTGCTTTAATACCCCATCATCTAGTGCAAAAATCCTCCTCAGTAAACTTTATTTTATTTTTTTATTTTATTTTTTTTTTAAGATTTTATTTATTTATTTGACAGAGAGAGACACAGCGAGAGAGGGAACACACGCAGGGGGAGTGGGAGAGGGAGAAGCAGGCTTCCTGCAGAGCAGGGAGTCCGATGCGGGGCTTGATCCCAGGACCCCAGAGATCATGACCTCAGCCGAAGGCAGATGCCTAATGACTGAGCCACCCAGGTGCCCCCTCAGTAAACTTTAGATACGGAAGGAAGAGCATAGGCTTTGTAGTCAGAGATTCTGCTACCATGTCCTTGCAGCAACACCAACTAGTTGTTAAATCTTGGGCAAGTTACTTAATCTTTCTGAGCTTCCCTTTACCTCATTAATTTAAAAACAAACAAAAAAATGCCTCAAGTGATTAGTATTTAAATGAAACATTTCTTTTAGAGCTCGGTACACAGTTGGAGCTCAGTCAGTGTTCACTTCTGCACACATAGGTGTGACTCTGCTGCTTCCAGACTTAGAGGCTGCTTGGGAGCCAAAGTGCTCACAAGTACGTACACACAGTATCTGCTCAATAAACACCTAGGGAACCCTGACATTTGCACAAGAGTTGTTACAGGAAAGATTATCTGTTTGCTCTTCTGGATTATCTTCTTGAAATCCCCAGTTTTCTCTTGCTATACTGACCCAGCTAAAACACCATTGGTGCAAATGAAAATTGATGATCTGTTTTTTTTTTTTCTCAGAAGTGAATTTCCTTACCTACATCAGTCTGAGTGATTTCATTTAAGCCTTTTGTGCTATGTGATTACTGGCTTTAAATATTATGCCATTGTTGATGCATGAAATCTTAAGGAAGTCTATAGCTTTATACTGTGACTTCAAAACCAGATCGCTGCCTTTTAAAGAAAATACTAGAGCTCAAGACAGAATTGCCGAAGGCCCTATGGTGGTGGAGTCTTTGTGTGAAACCAAATTTGTCTAATTCCACAGTATATTCTTTTTATTTTATGAGATGGATGTATTTCTCTGTGGTATCATTCTCAGAGGTAGAAGGTGCCCTTCTTGTCTTCAGAAACCACATTCTATTGGTACTAATCTTGTAAGAGTTTCTGGAGATGTTTTGAGTCAAATTTTGAAGGAAGGACTTTTTTTTTTTGCTGGTCATCTCTTCGAATGTGTGATCTTTACCTCTGTTTGCTGTCAGTCTGCTTTGTTTTGAATGTAGAACTCACCTTTCATTTCATTCTTCCTAAAACTCTTCTTAACACAAACCTCTCTTCCAAGATTATTAATGCTGTTTCTTACCCAATACAGTCACTTTTCTTTTGCTCATCTTCTGATGTTCCACTCCCTCTCAGGAGCGTCCTTAACAAGGCATTGTGTGGCTTCGGCTTCTGCTCCGGGCACAGGGAGCTCAGTCTCCCTTGGTAGCCCATTCCACTTTCTGACCGTTCAAAAGTCTTTCCTAATATTGAGCTAAAATGTGACTTCTCATCTCCGGTCCTGCCCTCTGAAACTAACAAAGTCAGTCTTGTCTCTCATTAAAATCACATTT